CCACATACATGGGGTTTCTCTCCAGTATGAGTTCGCTGATGAACCGTGAGTTCATTCTTCCAGAAAAAGGTTTTTCCACATTCCCCACATACATGGGGTTTCTCTCCAGTATGAGTTCGCTGATGAACAGTGAGAACATTCTTCCTGATAAAGGCTCTTCCACATTGCCCACATACATGGGGTTTCTCTCCAGTATGAGTTCGCTGATGTACAGTGAGCTCATTCTTCCAGGAAAAGGCTTTTCCACATTCACTACATACATGGGGGTTCTCTCCAGTATGAGTTCGATGATGTACAGTGAGGTCCTTTTTCCAGATAAAGGATTTTCCACATTCACCACATACATGGAGTTTCTCTCCTGTATGAGTTCGCTGATGAACAGTGAGCTCAAACTTCCAGATAAAGGCTTTTCCACATTCACCACATACATGGGGTTTCTCACCAGTATGAGTTCGCTGATGAACAGTGAGAACACTCTTCCTGATAAAGGCTTTTCCACATTCACCACACACATGGAGTTTCTCTCCAGTATGAGTTCGCTGATGAACAGTGAGCTCATACTTTGAGATAAAGGCTTTTCCACACTCACCACACACGTGGGGTTTCTCCCCAGTATGAGTTCGCTGATGAAAAGTGAGGCTCTTCTTCCTGCTAAAGGCTTTTCCACATTCACCACACACATGGGGTTTCTTTCCTGTGTGAAATGTCTGATGTTCTGTAAGGCTTCGCTTCTGGCTGAAAGCTTTACCACACGCACCACATACATAAGGTTTTTCTCCAGTATGCGTGAGTAGATGAATTTTGAGATTTGATGTCCGATTGAAACTTTTGCCACATTCACCACACACATGGGGTTTCTCTCCAGTATGAGTTTGCTGATGATCAGTGAGCACATTCTTCCTGCTAAAGGCTTTTCCACATTCCCCACACACATGGGGTTTCTTCCCTGTGTGAAACACCTGATGTTCTGTAAGACACTGCTTCTGGCTAAAAGCTTTACCACTCTCACCGCATACATAAGGTTTTTCTCCAGTATGAGTTTGTAGATGAGTTTTGAGCTGTGTTGTGTGAATGAAGCCTTTGCCATGTTCACCACATGCATGGAGTTTCTCTACAGTATGAGTTTGCTGAAGAACAGTGAGATCACTGTTCCTGGTGAAGGCTGTCCCACATTCACTGTATACACAGGGAGTCCCTGCCACATGAGTTTTCTGATGTTCCTGGAGATATGATTTACTGTGATAAGCTTTGCCACATTCCAAGCATGTGTATGGTTTTTGTCCTTTATAAGCAGTAAGAGTGAATACTCTGTCGAGTTCTTGTCCACACAGACTGCATTCATAGGTGTTAGCTAGTACGTGAATGATCTGATGCTCACAGAGGAAAGACTCCTTGATGAAGGTTTCCCCACATTTATCACCTATGTGTGATTTCTCAATTATGTCAGATTCCTGATGCTGAATGCATTGTGACTTTATGCTACTGGATTTTTCACATCCAGGGAATTTCATTTCAGTACAAAATTGCTCATGTTTAACATGGATAAAAGTTTTCTCATCTCCATTGAGCACAGCCGACTTCTTTATTTTGCTGCTACTGTTGTGATTTAATGCCAGAATGATTAAATCTGATTTTACATTTTTCTCATGTAAGCCAAATATCTCATAATTTTCCTTTAGAGGAAAATTATTTTTGTGCTGATGAAGAATATTTTCCAATGTATTAAACTGATAGCATTGTTCAGTTCTGTCCACACTTCTTTCATGTTGCGAGTGCTCAAGCAAATGATTACCAACTTTCTTGATTTCTACAAAAGAACAGAACATTGAATCTTTTCATAATTTTGATTTACAATGGACCCCTTAAAACATCCTTTGATAAAAGGTAGATCATTAGTCACAACCCTCTTATATGAATGTAAATAAAACACTATGCTTAATGTTTCTTGCCCATTGGTACAAATACAATTGTGTAAACAATCCAAATGGTAAAAGCAATTACTGGAGAAACCAGATTGGATGTGAAAATAATGAATGAACACAGATTTGGTAGTTGCTTAAATCGGGTCATGAAAATATACAAAGAATGTAAATACAAGCAAGACACTGAGACCCACGGACCACAGGGGTGGTAAGGCTGGCGAGTTTCAGTGACTGGAGGTCAGATGTATTCATTTCCTTAGTCTTTTTTGAAAGACAACTCAGTTCTAGACAAAGTCGGGAATGTGAAAAATGCAGAATGTTCTACTTCGGAGAAAATAATTTTTACAAGTATATAGGAACGGTATTATGATACACAAACACATTCCTTTTGTTTATGGAGCCTGTATTCTAGCTCAAACCACTCATCTTCCAGTGCTGTCCTGCGGTGGTTGCATGCTGCTTTAAGGCCAGATGCAATGCCACTCAGTATTTCAAATACTAGCAGGATCACCCATGGTGCACGGGGATTAGTGGAATTTCCAGAAACACAGACTGGGTGGAGGACCTGCTTCGGGAACATGAGCCCCTCAGGTTTAATGGCACTGAGATAACACTGAAGAAGTACTACCTCCTCAAAGGACAGGCAGCAGCACCCTTCACTGGGTGACATGGCGTGACTGAAACTAAGAAAAAATGACTGCAAACATCCACCAATAATTGGAAGACAGAAAGTATGAAGTATTATCAAGAAAAGTTGAAAGTGTCAGAACAAAATGAAATGTTTAAAGAATGATAGCGCATGTATTACTGAACTTTAATAGAGTGGTACCAGCTAATTCTAATGAGATAAACAAGTGGTTTATAAGGTTGAGATTGACAAATTCAAGAAGACTGGTGTCATGTTCCTCATCAAAAAGTACACTGCAAGATCTTCCCTGAAGTCCACGTTTAATATTCATATGCCTGCAAGTAAGACCAGTTTAGATTTGTGTCATTTAGATTTGTGCACCAAACATAAAGTGTGGGATCCAGCCCCACAGCGGAATAGGTCCTTAGGAGCAGCGTGTGCAATTAAGGAAGATAAAGCAGACAGCAAAAGACAGAGTGCAGGGGCCTCATGTGCAATGCTGGCTAAGAGATGGAGGTCATCTAACAGTGAGTTTACATAGCAGCGAGGTGTGCAAGCCTCCAGCAGGCACATATCCAACAGAATGGGCAAAGTGTGAATCTGGGATATCCTGGTTCTTTTAGAACACTTCATAATACGTGTCAGGCTGTGAGAAACTGAAGATTGGGAAGCGAGCATATGCAGACACATTCTCTATTGTCAGGATTAAAGAAGCCTGCAAGGAAAGGACTCTGGGTGGAGGGAGGCCTTCACATTTGTAGGCTGGAGAAAAGTCCCAGTCACCATGTCCTAATTGAAAATCATCCTTATCATCCCCACAATATCCTCTCATTATAGAGATACCTTAATGGTACCTAATACAAGTACATGTCTAATTACCGTCAGCCACCCGCTTCATCTATAGGAGCAGACATGTTATTGTTCTCCCTGCTCAGGGGACAGTCACTCCCCTTTCTACCTGCCCTCAGCACTGGTGCTAAATTACTCAATCAGTGAGCTCAGGGACCTCTAGGGTAAAGATACTGTCCACCTGGTTATGTAGGTAGGTGTCTGTGGTTGTGGGGGGGCGGCTATCATACCCTAAGACTACATAAATGAGTGAAAGAATACATTCTCTCTCTATCCCACTCAGATATGGCATTATGGAGGAGATGAGGGCCTAAATACTTGTGTCTGCCTTTTTATTTATGCCCCTCAATTACACAACCATCCCTTGGGACCCCATCCAGAAGACATTTAAGAGACAAAGGAATAGTTGACTCCTGGAGTGATAGCAACAAAGGAAGAACCTGATTGCTCTTAAAGCTAGGCATCTTTCAGCTGAGTAGTGAGAAGTCATGTACCTGTAGAAGACAGCTGTACACTAGCATCTTAATGGAGGGCAGTTGTGGAGAAAACTCTTTCTATCTGGAGATTGTGTATTATCAGCTGTATCTCTATCCTCAGAACGGTGGAGGTTTTCCTCTAACATTACTGCTGGTCTTCCAAGCCCTGTGGTCAGGAGTTTAGAGATTAGGCTGCTTACACTTTCATCCAGGTTCTGTTTCCACAAGAAAGAAATTGAAGGATGGGGGAGGGAAGGGATAAAGGGGAGCTGCTATCAAGGAATTCAAGAAGAAAGAAAATGTTTGAAACTTACTGTGGTAGCAATTGTACAATACTACTAGATGTGATTGAACTATGGAATGTTATATCTGTAAGAATTCCCAATAAAATGGTTTTTAAAATACTGAAAATTTAAACTAACTTTTACAGCCTGAAATTGATCAACCATACAGTCATGTACTCTGATGAATGTTAAATTTGGAAAAAGTATTAGTTGGAAAATTGTGGCCTTAGTGATAGAAATAACACACAAGATTAGTGATAAAATTTTGAGAGACCAATGATGAATTCATAGTAAATGGAAATTATATGTATGGGCCTTTCCAAGTGGGATACATGAAAATCAAATCAACCACATCTGTGGAAAGAAATGATGGAGAGCTCATCGGTTAAAACAGGGCCAGGGGTCAACTGTGGAACAGATCATCAACTGCTCAAATCCATGTTGAATTTGAAGAAAAGTTCAAGAAAGGAAGTCCACAAAAACTAAAGTACCTAGCTCATTTGAGCTCAGAGACTATGAGGAACTGGACTGATGGCTGAAGAGCTGTGGGATGACACCAAGGTCAGCATACATCTGAGAACAAATGGCTACTCAAAAGACAGAGAACAAAAGGAGAGCAGTGGTGACTATACCACACGTTGTTTGAAGATCAACCAAAAAATCAGTGTTGGAAAATACAGCCAAATGTTCTTTGGAAGCAGCAAAGGTCATCTTTCACATTTTGGACATGCTGGGAAGGGGTGGGCCTAAGGAAGGCATACTACATTGTAAGGAATATACAGCAGACATGCGTCTAAAGAAAGAAGCAAGAATGCAGGATGTTAACAATGTCCTTTCCACATACTAAATTATTGGAGGAGTAGACAACTTTAAAGAAAATCCTAGAGATGTAAAAAATTGAAGGTACAGTACGAAAGGATACCCTAAGCTGATAACAATTTTCTTGTTGGGAAGATGGTCTTAGATATGTAAAAATAACAGATGTCATAAAACATAGAGAAACATGTCTGTTAAGCAATTCCAACCGAAAAGGCAATTTGACCATCCCTATTAGAAAATAGAAGAACTTGTATCACTAGAATGAAGAAAACTTTAAAGGGTTAGGAGGACAAATGAGAAAATGGAAACCAAAACTTAGAGACACTCCACGGGGGGGAGTTTATGGCGGGAGCTTCAGATCCAAGGTGGGGCTGGGTCCACAAAGGGAAATCCATTCAGACTCGGTAGGGAGGAATGCCCAGTACTCCGAGGGCAGCTACAAATCAGAGTTCTCTGTTTGGAGAGAGCCTTGCAAGACGGATTTAACAGTAAGGTAGAAGGACATAAAAGAGGGAAGTGTTTGAGAAATTAAAGAAAATTATGGAACCAAACTCACAAGAGTGTAAATCAAATAAACGGAAATCTAATCTCAGAGAGCTAGAGGGGTATTTCTCTAAACTTCTAGGAAAAGTGAGGTCTCACATTCGAAGAAGCCCACATTTTTATGTTTTATCCAACACCTATCCTGGATGTGAGGCCTTCTCCCAATTGAATCACTCCCCCAGCCATTTCCCCTGGATTTTTGTTCCCACACCTGAAAAAAATCCACTATGGCTTTTTTCTAATGGAGACCACGGGTGTTCTCCTTGTTCCAACTAAGAGAAAGCTTCTAGGGTGACAACTAGATAACAGGTTCATGAGAAATGACAGAATCTTAGACACACCAAAATTAACCTTAGGTTTGTGAAGCCTGCAGAATGTTGTATTTCTGGGAAAAGAACATTCAGGCCACAGAGTAAAGAGTAGAAGACTGCACCCACTAACCTAGGACCAGAGAATGCAATGAGAATCTTCCTCTTTGAGAACACCACAGACACTGCAAAGACTTTAACACATAAGGCGGGAATTCTCCTCACCAAGGGAAACCAGGTTGCGATAGTTCTCCCACATCACATCCTGATAGAGGGTCTTCTGAGCAGGGTTCAGGAGCTGCCATTCCTCCCCGGTGAACTTTACAGCCACATCGTTGAATGTCAGGGATTCCTGTAGTGATGTAGTATTTTCCATTTGAAGATTAAAAAAAACGTATCTTACAGTAAAGAAATCAAAACAGTAATAAAGCTATTCTGTGATAGTACATTCCTTAGTGTGTGGTAAACTGAGGACTAGGCAGAAAGTATTTGACCTTATTTCTATACTCGCAACCCCAGACACAGAAAACTAGCCCTATTTAGAGAAAGATCTCCATCGTTCCGAGATCGAAACGTTTTCAAGTACACGTTCTCCAGGCTGTGTGATGTGCCCCCACATTAGCCCTCTATTAAGGAGCAGTCTTAAAGGAGCTACCATAGTAGATGAATCATTTCTGTGCCTGGCTACTTCACTATACCTGAAGGTTATCTGTAGATTAGAACAATCATTTTCTATAGCCAACCCACCTTAAATGTAGCAACCCCTTGGGGAAGGCTCAAGGTGGGGGTGGGGGGGTGTTGAGGTCAATTAGCACTAGTCAAGATGGTGACTCACCTCCTTGCTTCTTTATTATGTTACCTGCTTATGATATTACCTGTTGACTATGTGAACTGTATGACGTGTATGCCTTGAGAGACCTGTGAGCCCCATTACATAGACCCACTGGAAAATACATTTTCTCTCTCTCAGTCCTGACATGGGATGAGGCGCCCCTGTGTCCCTGAATCAGTCTTTCTTTTCTTTAATATTTTCCACAAGCGCAAAGTTGCACCCGAGGACCTATTTGAGTGTTGGGGACACCTATGCCCCAACAATAATGAAGCCACTCAAAAAATTAGAATTGAGTAGCATTGAAATTATTTCTGAATGAGCTAGAAATACCTTAGATTTATACTCGCACACAGTAGACAAACGCATAAACGTTTATATGAACAAACACGTTAACAGAACGCTGTGAAATGGAAGTAGGAGTCCTAGCAGTGTCACCGTATGAGACGCTCTGGACCTTCAGTGCCGATAGGTATCAGGCTCAGTTCGGGGCTGATCCCTGTGAGGGGGGAGGTCAAACATACCTCAGCTCTCCAACATTTTTGGTCAATTCTTACACAAGTCATTCCTCCCACACCACTCTTTGTCTCTCTTCTGGGCTTGATAATTCGTTGTTATGGCCATACAAAACTCATGTATCAAAGTGGTCTATTAATGAATGAAGTACAACTCAAGATCAGGAACAAGAACAGAAAGCTCATAGGCAAAGTCTCCCTTCCTTGGTGCAGAAGAACTTTTGAAGCTCTTAGAGTAAGGTGACCAGATTTTAACATTGGTAAAGCGGGACACCATTGATAAAACTCACATCCTGGCAAAATAGCCACATGGCAGCCGAAAACCATATACCCTAGCTTGTTGTGCATTCTTTCCAAATATTGGGACTTTTTTTTTTTTCTTTTTTAACATTTTATTAGGGGCTCATACAACTGTTATCCCAATCCATACACACATCAATTGTGTAAAGCGCATTTGTACATCGTTTCTCAAAACATTTTCTCTCCATTTAAACCCCCGACATTAGGTCCTCATTTTTCCCCTCCCTCCCCGCTCCCCCCTCCCGCATGAGCCCTTGATAGTTTATAAATGGGTATTTTGTCATATCTTGCCCTGGGGACTTTTTAAAAATGCTGCGGGACACGGGAAAAATTGTTAAAAATTGGGACTGTCCCGCCAAAGGTGGGACGTCTGGTCACCTTATCTTAGAGGCCAAATTCTTATCAGTTACCTTCAGACAGTATTGTCTAGCTTTAATTGTAAGGTGCTCTTGGACCTGCCATCTTTCACCACATGCTCTCCAAGGGGCCCCTCCTAGTTCTGTTGCCGTTGGCTCGACCTCTGGAGCGCTCCTAGCTTGCCTAGAAGGGAAGGTGCTAGGTTGGCTCAAGAAGCCATCATAGCGAGAGAGAGAGAGAGAGAGAGAGAGAGAGAGAGAGAGAGAGAGAGAGAGAACTGCCTGCAGGCATGGTTGAGAAAAGTGAGACTGTGGCCTGTCATCTGACCTATGATTTGGTTTGTGAGGCCCTGCAGCCACACAGTTCAAAATGAATCCATGGATTGGGGATTTGCCAGCTTCCAGAAATGCCATTTCCTTGACATCCCTGCAACTGGGAGCTACCTGTGGGACCCGATTTGAGAGCTGCCTCCACTCTGTAAGCCTCCACTCTGTGAGCTGTCTGACCTTTCAATTTGGGTTCCTCAGCACCTGCAACCTATTATTTGACCAGCTTCAACAATTTCACTTTGTGACCCAGTGGACTGTTGTCTGAGCAGATGATCCGGTTCATCGGCCTTTGCAAACACATTAATGAGGAGAACCCTCCAGACTGATGCCTGGCCTGTGGATTTGGGACTTGCCAGCTTCTACATCCTGAAGAATTATTTACCTGATGGCTATTTAGTTCTGTGAGATGCTGCAGAGCAAATCATGGAACATCTTGATCCTCTACCTCCTAGGGACCGGTCTACTGCTGCTCCTGCCCAATGAACCGTAGTAATCATGGATTAAGAACTGTACCAATGGAGAGCATGACTAGGGCAGAGGGGACACAGTGAGCGAGCCAATGGTGACAGGTCCAGAAGGGATTTTCAGTCAAGGTAGTGGGACAGGCAGGCACGATCAAGAGGAGGCTATCCCCAAGGAGCCTGTACAGATGGAACTAAGAAAGGAGCCTATCTTCAGGGGGCTAAATGTTTGAGAGGGACAGAGAGAACAGGCCTGCCTTGAAGAAGAGCAAATTTGCTGACATGTTTCCTTAATATGAATCCCAATGTGTAGCCTATAGATCCTGATACTAAGTTGAATTCTGTTACTCAGTAAAACTGTACCTGTGACTCCAGACTGTAATTTGTGTGTGGCCACTGCAAAAAATTAATGAACCGAGAAGGAGAGGACTGTGGGAAAGATAACTGGTGTCAGAACTGGAAAACTACTGGAGGGTACAGACATGTTTAAGCTCTGCCTCATAGAAATCAAAGCTGGTGCTGATGGTTGATTCTCTCTCCTGCATCGATAATAAGAGGAGATGAGAAGCTGTCAACCATTTTTAAACTACTATTGCTACAAGGCCCATTTTAGATGCTTTAATGAGAATGCTGCTGTTTGGGAGACTATGTAACATCACCTTCACAAAGAAACTTAGACAAAACCCCATGGAACACTGAACTCTCCTGAGAAAGTGATCTGAGTTCTCCTTAAAACCTAGCACAGTGTTTCATTTGAATGACCTTCGTGGTCAGCCCAAGAATAATGAATTGTGAGTTGAAAGCGGTCACCCAAAGAATCCTCAGTGATGTGTTATGTGCAGTTTCAGTAGTTTTGTGTTAACCCCATGATCAATATATCCCTAATCTTCTCCAGCACACTTTCCCCTGAATCAGTGTTATATAGGCTTCTACAAATCCAGTAGGAAATACAGAAAAGGATAAAACAGATCAGAGTCACCTGAGCCTTGGACATTTTCGTTGGTCCTTAGGACATTGCCGGCAACTGCGATGCTCTATTTTTTTCCTATCTGGATCAGCTCTGATGATGTTCACAAATTTCAATCTCTCATGAGGACACCCCAGAAACAATAACACCGAAGCCGGGCCCTTCTTCCTCCATCCTCTAAGCTGCTGGAGATTCAGAACCTGCAGGCTGATGGGAGAATACAATGTGAGTAATATACCACCTATAGGTCCAGATGCTGTTACTGTTAACAGTCTCCGTATTGAGTGACTGCAAGCATGTGTATTCCATGAGCACTAAAATATAAAATTCACAATTTTCAGACGTATGAGTACAAGATGACTTTGTAATAAATAGAGATTGCACAATCAGATATACACGTCAAAAAGAAGAAACAAAAAAGCTGGATCGCTACCTCCCAGCACACAGGACGATCACTCCCTCACTGTGTGACTCAGGGAGAATGACAAATCAATGAACCGGGAGACGATTATGCAGTTAAAGCAGCGGAGACATTTTAAACGGGCTACATAAAGAACTGTTATAAACGGAAGATTATTTTATAGAGGAACTGTTAATTGTACAATCATTTTAGAAACACTTTAAAATTAACCATCAAGTAGAGTTAGACGTATAAGCACCTGATAAGACACAGGAGAACTGCTCTACAGTTTCCGAGACTATAAAGCCACGATGGGCAGCTAGTGGGTGTGTACCTCGGACCTTGAGGTTAGCAGTCCAAACTCTTAATACATATCAGAACCAGGGCTCCATAGTAAACACTTATATATCATCTATTAGTTTGAAATTTAATATATATTTTAGAATGAAGAAGTATACATCCCCTTTATAGTGAGTACACTTTTGAACCCCAAGACAAATAACGTTTTTAATGTAGCATTATTTGTAGTAACCCAATGCAGTTAGATAGTTTGTCTATACAAGTATACAGTCTTTCTAGCGATGGCCCCTTAACTTTGTCCAACTGGTGGCATAGTGGTTACTGTTGGGCTGCTAACTGCAAGGTCAGCAGTTGAAAAACAACAATTTATCCTCAAAAGAAAGATGGGGCTTCCTTCTCCCATGAGAGACATGGCTTTCTAGTCCACTAAAGAGTGACAGGCTTGGCAACCCACAGGGGCAGTTCTACCCTGTCCCACAGGTGCACTGTGAGTCGGTGTTAACTTGATGGCATTGAGTTTGGGGGGTTTTTTGGTTTAAGAGGATTGGGCAAGTTGCCCAACAATAGATTGGTACCCTTGTGGCTTGGGGCTATGCAAATAAGCTTTCTGAAAACCTAACCTGGGAATTAGTCACGCTGGACATCATGTTCTGTTTAATTGAGCCATTTCAGAGACAGAAACTGGGATCTCACTACCATCAAAAAAGAAGAGGCAAGAGTAGGGGCCTTTGGGTCCTAGACTCTTGCATTGAAATTCTTCAATCCAGAAAACAGAGCTGTGACACGAGAGGAAGTGATGGGGAGAAACAGCAACAGAGGCATGGTGGCAGCAGAACCAAGAGACTGAGACAGAGCAGTGGGATTCCCAGGCCACAGAACAAGAGACTGAGTGCCTCTGGGCAGGAGGTGAGCAGGTGAAGTGGTGTACATCTGATCTGAGTACTTCTCTAGGGAACCAGATTTGCCAACCTACACAGAGCTAAGTGCTATTTGGTCTGAGGCTAAGGGAAGGAGTGGGCATTCATCTAAAGAACTAAGAGACCTTTGTAATATATGCCCATTCAGGACAGACGCCAAGGGGTTGCAGGGCCTGACCTTACCTGCAGGTATGGCTGTCAAGATGCTGGCTCAAAGCAGAACTGTATCTTGAGTCATTTATGACCCTACATGGTATCGTACAAAAGTGAAACGATGTCAAATATAATGTAAGGAGAACACTTATTAAACTTTGAGACAACGAAAGACACACACACACATCAAAAGTCAAAATAGCAACTGAGGATTCACTGTCAGGACCCCGATAAATAGGGCACAGAACAAAAGGCCTGTCACAGACCATGACTGCTGGCAGATCAATACAGCACAGATACAGGTAGCACTGCAGCAGCAGAAATGGGGTCATGATTAGGACATGCACATTATTAGATAGAAGGACTTACAAGATTGGTCCAGGGCCTTCACACAAAGCCAGTCAAGGCAAGACTCATGACAATGGCCCTGTTCTGTCCTCAGTACGGTGACCTCCATCAAGCATACACCTAGGCAGGCCCGTGGAGAGGGGCTGGCTACCTCTAAGGCATCTCCCCACAGGGAAGATGATCTACATGCTTGGTTAATGACCAGAAAGAATTCAACGGAGGCTTAATCAAAGTGGGGACGCAGCAGGTGGGCACTGTTGTCACTGTCCTCAGCAACCCAAACCTAAAACCCAACTCACTGCCACCGAGCGGATTCCGCTTACAGCGACCCTTTAGGAGAGGGTGGAACTGCCCCTTGTGAGTGTCCGAGACTGAAGCCTTGCCTTTCTCCTCGGGTGTGACTTGTAATTCTGAAGCGCTGACCTTGCAGTTAGCAGCCCAATCTGTAACCCCTAAGCCACCACCAACCTTTTGCACACTGGAGTGCTCTGAACTTACGACGTTCTGATACAAGTACAAACGGCTACTTCCCCAGTGAATGCCATCATTGGGGAGACGCGCAAAGACCTCGGACCCCGCCGTGGAGGGCAGCCTGGCCGTCGTACGCGCGCTCTCCCCGGTAAGACCCCAGGAAGAGGGGATCCCCCAGCTGCCCCACCCGCCCCCCAAGGAACCCCGGGGCCTGACGCCCGCGCGTGCGCACGTCGCTCGCCCTGTTTCAGAGACAGGAGCACACTCGTTTCCGCCTTACTCAGCAGTTACTTCCCAAAGGCGCTGCGGCTGCCGGGCCGATTCCCCGGCGGCGAACTCCTGCTGCGGCTCCGGACGTCACGGCGACGCCGCGCGCGACTACGGCGGCCGCCGACGGCCGAAATGCGCGTCAGGCGCGTGAGAGACGGACTTCCGGTTCCGCTCTTCGCAGACGGCCCAGCTTAAATAATTTCCGTAGAAAAGGGAAGTGTGTGTGTTGTAAATATATGTATATATTTTCTGTGTGCTGGGAAATATCAAATCATGTGAACTAGTACTCTGGAATTTCGTTGTGTGGGATTATTTAAATGATGATCTCACTATACTTTCATATATATATTTTTCATACACACACAACTCACTAAACTAACATTTCTTAGTCATAGCAAAACACCCAGGAAGTCTCGGTCATTATCTCTGATGTTCAGTTCGGTAAACATGGCCACACATGAAATGTGATTAATATTGTTAAAAAATTGGATTGTAAGTTTTGTATTTTAAAATAGTCGCAAATTAGTACCATCAAGTTTTTGCTAATATTTAAGAATCAAAACTCAGAAAAATTGTTAAGGAGTTTTTAATAACTTGGGGGGAAGTACACAATTATGGTGTAGCTTTATTATTCGAGTAATTCACAATGGAATAGAATCGCCATCGGCATCCAGGTGATTCCTGTGAGGTGGAGGTCAGACAGACCACTCCCATGCCCCAACTCCTTCGCCATTTCTAAACCTGAACTTCACTCTCTCCTCTGCTGGGTTTGACAACTCCATCCACTAGCTATACAGGCTCAGACCACATGCACAGGTATATGGTTTATCAGGGGTGGAAAGAGGTTACACATTGGGGTTAAAATTTATTTGGATGCAACAATATACAAATAGGATGTAATTGGCCAACCAGGTGAGCTTTCTCAGCAGATCACCCTTGGAACATAAATATTCCCTGATGACACAAGTCTTGATCCTTGTTGATCATTGCCTTGGACAGTTCTCTGCCACTAACTGGTCTAACTCCAGGTCAGTACCCAGCTCTGCCATTCGGTCTCTCCAGTATCAGCCTTTCTACTGCTATGTGGCCTGCCTTACAGGCAGTGGATAGCAGATTTCTCAGACCTTACCTGATGTAGCTCAACTGTCAGAATTCCTGCCATCAGATTCTCTGCTACTAACTGGCCTAGACAATCCTCTAGTGAGACCTCTCCACTGTCCTGCCTCTCAACTAATGACCTTTCTGCCATCGTGGGAGCTGATCCTAAACAATTTTTGTACAGACACAGTCTCACATTCATAACCATGTGGCTCTGGTTTAGTGTCAGCCTACTTCCCAGCCAGCACGTCTTCTGCCATCCGAATGACTCAACCACCATGGTCTCCCATTTGTTGTTACCCGCCATCCAGTTGGTTACGACCCACAGTGAACTGTACACAACAGAACAAAACCCAGCACGGTCCGTGCCTTCTTCACAAATGTCCCCATGCTTGGCCCATTGTTGCAGACACTGTCAGTCCAGCTCCTTGAAGGCCTTCCTCTTTTCTATACCCCTTTGCTTCACTTCATGTTCGATCCGTCTGTCCTTTTAGCAGTTCCGGTACTTTCAACTGTGTCTTCTCCTGGACCACAATGCAAGCGGACAGATTCTTCTCTGCTCTTCTTTATTCAATGCCCAACTTTATCATGTGTATGAGGTAATGGAAAATACCATGGCTTTGGGTCAGACAGACCTTAGTTGCTCTTCAATACTCTAAAAAGGTTTGGGGCAGATTTATACATGAAATACATCTTTGGATCTCTGGACTGCTGCATCTGTGAGCATTGGTTGTGGATTCAAGCAAGACACAATCTCTGGCAACTTCAACCTTTTCTCCACTTATCCTGAATTTACCCATTGGTCCAGTTGTTTACAATGAGTTGTGATCCATACTGACCAGGGCTGCATCAGGGTACATCCATGTGCCTTCTCAGGGATGTCATGCAGCAAGTGAGCCTTGCCAGCTGAGACAAAGAACTAGCTAAGGCAGCCGCACACTGGTGTGACCATCAGAGAGCAAGAGACAAGAGAAAACAAGAAAGGCAAGGCTCACTGAGTCATCATTTATCTCTCCGCCTTTCAATTAAACTGCCCTTCCATTAATCCCACATGTGTTTATTGTGCAGGTTGGCACCATAAACCTTCACTCTCACACCCTGCATCATCCTCAGTGTTGCTATTTTCAGCCCTGTTGTTGCATTCACCTTTGTAGATCCATTTCCTTGAGAATCTTCCTCTTTTCCACCTCCCCTTTTAAGTTACCTCGCACAAGGTCTCTTTTTACAGAGAAGATCTCTCCTAATAGTATGTCCAAAATACTTTAGATAAATTCTGATATCCCCCCACCCTCCTTTAAGGAGCAATCTGGTTGGGTTTCTTACAACACAGAACTTCGTGTTCTTTTGGCCGTCCGCGATATGATCACCAGGGTCCCCAGCACCCTTGTTAGGTGTAAAACAAATATGAATGATGAAATATAACATTTGGGGATAGAGATACACAGAGAAAGGAGAGAGAGTCTGTGAGAGGGGGTGATAGATTGGTGGTATATAGGTGGATGAGTGGAGAGGTGAACAGATGGAGCTTTGAATGAGAGAGGGAGGGGGAGGGGAACAGAGGGGCGGGGAGGGGAGAGAGAGAAGGAGACTCATTTGCAGAGTCCAGTGTTTCCATGTGTTGGGTCACTTAATGAGAACAAAGCGAACTCAGGTTATGGTGCCTGAATTTTGATCATCATCAAATCATTTTCTCAATGACACAAGAATGTCATGGAGCTCTTCAAGTTTTAAGAAAATGGATAAGTGCAGAATTGGGAAAGGAACGGAAAGTAAAACTAAAGAAAATTGCTGTATCAGGACATTGTATTCCTCCAGGTACCAAGAGGTGACCTATGATAGTTTAATATGTAAACTTCAAATGCTCCGCCATTTCGAATTGAGCTTGTATTTTCCAAAATATATTTGAATAGTTTTATTGGCACTTCATCCACATGTCATACAAATCAATAATTCAATCATCACCACAATCAATTCTAGAACATTTTTTGTCATGTAATTCTTTTTTTTAATTGTGGCAAAAATAGACAAAACATTCTCCAATTCAACAATTTCTACATGTATTATTCAGTGTCATTGGTCATGTTTTTTTTAATCATTTTATTGCAGGCTTGTAAAAATATGGAACGCTTCACAAATTTGCGTGTCATCCTTGCGCAGGGGCCATGCTAATCTTCCCTGTATCGTTTCATGTTGTACAATCATTATTGATACCATTTTCCAAATTAGTCCACCACTATATTAGGTAGGGATCTCTAGAGAGGCAGAACCAGGACACTTACGATTATAGATATACATACTATGTATGATTACATATGTGTGTGTGTGTGTAAGGTTAGGGCACCTAACCACCACAACTAGATATATAAGTTTATATAGCAAAAAGTAATAAGACATCAAATTAGTGCACACAGTAGAACAGAGAGCTCAGCCCAACTCACTTTCGTGGGTCAGTTAATATACTGAAGATCCTTTCAACTAGACGATTAGATATCGAGATCTAGCAGAGGCCAGTAACGCTGCGTGCAGAAGCAGGTCACGGTGGAGCCTCACAGTGGAGCGATGCATGGTGGCTGGCTGGAGGTGCGGCATCTGGAGTGCTGGCAAGATAAGTGGAGTCAATCCACAGGCAGAAAACACAGCAATGAGGGCCAGTGCAACGGCATGGAATAGCATGGCTCAGCCACTGGGTCCACTGTGGTCCACATATTGGCGCAGTGAGGTAGAGCAGAGTACTGCACAGCACACATTTTGCGGAAGGACAGCTAGATCACAGTGCACTGGTCCGACCAACGGGGAGAGAGAGAGGGGCTGGCCTCCAGAGAACCACTACCCTGGTTTCACCTCCAAAGGAGGTCATTAAGCTGTGTGACCTGATTGAGAGGCTAAACTCCATTCATATATTCTTACAGGTGCCAGGTTTACACACAAAAAATTATCATAGCCCATCCCTTGTCAACTTGGCACTTGCACGCAATTCTTTTACAGATACATAATTTCCAGATATTAATGAGATCATACTTACACCTAATAAAATCTAGCTGGCATTCATACAAATGAGAACTCACTGGCCTTATTTGTATCTGGGATATCATACTGTAAAGCGGAACTGAGGAACAGGGAGGAAGACGGACATAACTGACAGGACAAGGGAGAGCAGAAGCAGAAAGAGCTTCATTAGGGGTTAGGGGAGCTCCCGGACACGAGGTGCCGTGACCTAGGCCAACAGGTCAGGGAAGTCGTGCTCAGCAGCTGGGGGCGAGGGTTTTTAAAGGAGCGGTGAGGAATGTATGGCAATTAGTATATGGGGTCTGGAAACCGGGAGGATTGCTTGTCGACTCCTGGAGGCTTTCTTTGAACCGGGTACATCAGGTTTCACCGGTTATCCTCTCTGGCGCCGACTGCTGCTGACCTCTGGGACGTGCAGGGAAGCATGTGCATGGCCCAGACCTGCTTCGGCTTAGTCCAAACGGGGCTGCCTAGTTCCGACCCAACCCAACAATACCTGAACAAGAAATATATTTGATAGGTACATATAAATAGTGACAATCACAAACCTCGCCTTTGCAATAGATCACATGATCGTAACATACACAGACGATCTTTCTCCAGTACCTATTCTGTATTCCCTTTGCCCTCAGCCAGAACCTCAGCTGGTCATGGTTCTTTGCCTGGTGGGGGATTAGCAGTCCTGTCAGGATTGGGAGGCTGAGGTTTACCATTTATCTTAATCACAAGGCATGGTATTACTAAGAGACCTAAGGAATCTTAGCCTGGATTCCAGACATATTCTTTACGGGAAGCTGAGTGTATTGTATGCGGACAAACGCTCTACGCTCATATTTAAGGAGTCTGGGAGGCCAAGACTCCGGTGCAGGGAGCCCTTCATGCTAGTGAGTTGGAGATGAATCCCAGTCACATTCTCCTGACTAAAGGCTATTGCCCACAATGTCCCCCATAATAACGCCAATTAAAGATGCTGCTTGTAAGCACAGGTCCACTCTTTAGTATGCCCAGAGGCTGTCGTTAACAGCAATCAGACCCTATTGTCGGTCCAACCCTAAGTACAGCCCACTGCCTTCTGATAAGTATCATAGATTGATCCCCTGAAGAAGAGCTCAGAGAAAACCAAGGTCAAGCCATCACAGGGACCACCAAAGTTAAGCCACCACCTGAACTCTGGAACCCGCCCATCTTGTTACACATATAACTCCCTGTCACATGTATGCTCTAGTATGACCCTCTATGGTTATGGGTCCTCCAGTTCATCCCTTTTCTGTGATGAATGTGTATGACCTGGCTTGCATGCCCCCAAGATTATATAAGCCTATTAGAGCAGTGGTTCTCAACCTTCCGAATGCCATGACCCTTTAATACTGTTCCTCATGTTGTGGTGACCCCAACCCTAAAATTATTTTTGTTGCTACTTCATAACTGTCATTTTTCTACTGTTATGAATCATAAATATCTGGTATGCAGGATATATTTTTATTGTTACAAATTGAACATAATTAAAGCATAGTGACTAATCACTAAAACAATATGTAATTATACATTGTGAAATATTTATTTCTAATTACAAATAAATGAAATTTTGTCTAGAAGCATGGTGTCGCATGGGTAACAGTCTTCACGCAGGGTACTCGCCTGGAGAGGAATAGAGGAGCGGTGTCTCAGTTCCTAAGACCATCAGAAAAATGTTTTCCGATGTTCTTAGGCAACCCTTGTGAAAGGGTCTTTCGATCCCCAAAGGGGTCACGACCTACAGGTTGAGAACCGCTGTATTAGAGACTCTCTTGATCCTGCCATCGGAAGGGTGAGCCCTTGCATGCATTGTCTGATGTTTCTTTAATTTACCTTTCACTTACACAACCTTCCCTTGGGACTCACTCGGCTGTGGAGGCCGATACCCCACAATTCCTCTTTACCTCCATTATGTATCACCAATGCAATTCCCCCTTGGTAATCAGAAGCCATCACACCACTCAAAACAGTGACAACCTTCTTTACTTGTTGATACCAAAGCAAAAGGATTCCAAAATGGCCAGGAGGCATTCATAGCTGCCAGTTCAATGGAATCAGTGCTGTTTCCAGTTGGGAGTGTTCATTCCTTTGAAACTAGGGCCTCCAGGCCTGAAGAACATAGTTATTAGGACAGGAAGCGAAAAGTACTGCAAGTGGATTGCGAGGAGTAACAGTGAGTGGTGCCATTTGGTTTCCACCTGTTGGCTCCTGGACCCATGAATCCTGGCTATTGGCGATACACAGCACACTGGTGTAGAGCACATATAGCCTGCTGGAAAACATTGCCACCCAGTTGGTTCCATAATTGTGTCTTTGGAAGGCCATCCCCTCATACTATCAAGCCACCTGCTTCAGGATGATGAGGAATATGGTACGACCAGTGGATTCCGCAGGCATGGATCAATTGCCCTACCTCATTCACTGTGAAGCGAGTTCCTTGATATGTCCCTGGCAATAGCAGGCACACATCTGCCAGAATACACATCTTCATACAGCAAGTAGGGCGTTCAATTAGTAAGTCAAGGTTAGTCTGCCTGTCGACAGTTCAATACTGTTGTTATAGAAGGCTTCTGCTTCCTTGCACAATACGTTGTTTCAGTCTTAAGTTCCCAGATTTCAGGTATGTTGGAGGTAACCCTTTGTTCACCTAGTGCAGTTTCCAGATCTCATCCCTCTGGGATGGTCTTTGGAGTGTGTAATGCACCTTGAAGTTCCAGAGTTCAATGTCTTGATGTTTTATGACACATGGCTTGGGTCCCCAGGGGATGTACAGAAACTTGGACCAATGTGTTTGATATATTGGGAGCATGGTCCTCCTTTTGTGTCCTTAAAAGTATTGTTAGTCATTTTTCCCCTGCTAAAAAATTAGTGTTGCCTCATTTTCTACCAACAGGCATTACTTGTCTTCTCCCAGGTGCGTATGTTCCCTTTTCCACTTCCACTTGATTTTCCCATCAATACCCTTCATCCCCCTGGTAGGAATGACTGCCAGTCCAGGTGACATCATCATACAACTGCAGGGCAACCATTAGGCGGTCATCCTCCCCTTCCCATCTGTAAAAAATCTGATCCTAGCTGATGTAACGACCCCTCCACCAAACTGCCTTCAATACTCCCACATACAAGCCTGTACAGACACACAGAAACAGAATAATTTTTCAATGCTATACATTTAAATTGTTTTACCAAACAACCTTATCACTTTCAAAGTACTCTCAATTTCACTTAATACATTTGCCAAATCTGCAATTTCATCCTTGGAAACATTTTTCAAACTCATCTGTTTGGATGGCTGACAGCATCGCCCTAGTTTTTTTTTCTTCCCTTCCGCTCTTCTACGTGGTCAACTTGCTTTCCTTTCATGTCCCTCTTCATTCACAGAAACAAAAATAAGTCACAAACAATGAAGTCAGGTGAGTAAGGTGCATGGGTTGAGAGAGGCCTGCTGTTTCTTGCCCAAAACCGGGGCACTGAGAGGACCGCATAAGCAGGCGCATTATCATGTTGGCAAAACCAGTCCACAGTCTGCCACAAATCGGGTCTTTTTTGTCACACAATCTTTTCAGAAACTCCAAATAGAAAGCTTGATTAACAGTCTGACCTCGGGGAACAAACTCAAAATGCAGAGTCCACATTCCCATCCATCAGGAAGCTGACAGACATCCAGAACAAGGTTTGTTATCAATCAACATTTCACCTTTTTTGAAAAAAGGAAACCATTCACACACTTGAGGTTTCACCATAGCACTGTCCTTATAAGCTGTGTTCAACATAAAAAGTTTCGGCAGCATTTTTCCTGAGCAGGAAACAAAATTTCACAACTGCATACTGTTCTCTAAAATCAGCCATCACAAAAAACAAGGTTTGGGTGAAACTGTTTTTACCAAAAAAATTCACTGTGACCAGAGAGAACCTTCCCAGGCAACGCCACTGGGAGCACTACCTCAGAGCAAGTTGCTCAATGCTTGCCTAGCGGAAAACATATGTACACTCAGCAGTGCTTTCCCCCATCTATTTTGTCTTCCATAAGGCGTGCTTCCTTTGTTCTTTCTGGTTGCTGTGTATGCCCTGCACTAGGGCCCTTAGGTCTGTCTCAACTTCACTATTTGTGATTGGCAATTTTGCGGGGGCAAGGGTGAGGCAGTTTTGTTCCATGTCTTTGTTCCCCTCTAGATCTAGCTTGTTTGGGTAGTTTTCTATGCTGACTTTGGGTGGAGTCACACCCTGTAATGGTAACATATTTGTGTGCAGCAGTGTTGCTTTTCTGACTACAGAGATCTGTGTAATGTTTTTTAATACTTAAAAAAAAACCCCAAATGCTCTAAATATTTCCTTCTTTGATTATAATTTTATTTCTCCTTCAAATTTGACGAATAGCTTTGTTGAATATAGGGTTCCTGGATGAAATTTTTTTGTCTTTCAATGTTCCGTTTGTTTTTCCATTTTCTTCTGTGGTATGATTTCTAAGGGGAGGTCAGAGAGTTTCTTCTGTTTACCTTTGTTGGAGACTGTCATTTTTTAATTACCAAGATACTCTCTTGTTCCTTAGAGAATTTTGCATAATTTGACTAATACATGTCTTGATGACTTGGGGTTTCGTTTGGGGGAGGGACTAGAGTCTAATGTTAGTGTTCTACTTTCTGGATAGTTACCCTCTTGTTTTTAATACTGGGGAAATTTTCTTTCATGAGTTCCTTTTTTATTTGATCTGTAGTTTTGTTGATTCTTCCAATGAGATGTATATTATTTCCCTTCGTGGTGTCCCACATCACCCTCAGGCTTTCCTCAGCTTGTTTGTGTTGGATTCTTTTGCTCATTTGCTGACATCTGCGTGGTTGCCAAGTTCACTGATTTGAATTTTCCTTCTCCATTTTATTAGTCAGTCTTTGTAACACATTTTTGATATCTCATTTTTAAAATTCTGGGTTTATTTTGTGAGGTTCTTAGTATCTCAATTTCTACCTTTGCTCTCAAGATTTATCCCCAAATCGCTTGTAGGATCCTAAACAACATTCTCCTGTATTCTCTTTCTGGTAGGTTAATGGCTTCTTTTTCTGTATATTCCATTGGGTTTGGGTAATCTTCAGTTGTTGGTTTTTGTTTATCTTTTTTTGTGGTTACTGCTGCTGTTTGCTTGTCACAGTGCTCCAGCTGTGGATGGTGTGCAGTGTTCTTGGTTTTGTAGAGGGGAATGGTTTGGCTGTTTGGTAGGGGCAGGAAATTCTATTATGTAGAGCTCAGGAAAAAGTGATAGGGATTGGTGGGAGTCACTAATAGGAGATTTGAGCTCGAGTAGGGCCTATCTGACGGTATTAATCATCAGTGGTTTTCTATTTATGTATAATTGGAAAAGGGCATTTTAAGAGGTGTGCTAGCACTTGTTCATTTATGTTATAGCGTGCCTGAGAAAAGGGGAGCGGGACTGGTAGTAGTAGTGTATTGGGGTATATGAAGAGTACATTAAATCTTGTAATGCACCAGATCACTTATCAACTCACTGTATAATATAGGGAGAGCCCAGCAGATCCATGTTAGTGTTTACAACAAAGGGACCTTGATTTGGTGATACTCTGGTTCCCTGTTTTAAAAGACTCAGTGTCGCATGGGAAATAATGGGGAGATATCAGAATTCTGTGCCCTGCCGTGCTAACCCTCCTCAACCAAGGGTCCTATGGTGGAAATGAGCAATAGGAATGGAGATCTGAGTTTTGGGGGCTTCTAATCAGGGGGCAAATCAGGAGATAAATCTGCCAACCTGAGGGTTGAAAACCACCGAGACTGGCTGATATACCACATTCTGCATTCTCTGGGTGGTTGGTTTTTACAAGAAAAAAAAATTTTAAATCAAAATACTCTTAGGCAGCCAGAGTTCATTTCAAGCATCTGATTCCCCAGGATTCGGTCCCCGATCACAGAATGCCACGAACCCTTAAAAAGAAGTTGACACATTCGTATATGATAAATACACATACCATATGGTAGCCATATACCTCATAAGGGTTAATGCATATAAAAGATTATATGTTCATCAAAAAAGTGTTAAGAGTTTTCAATAACATCTTTATTAAAAAAGCCAGAAAACTGGAATAACAGAAATGTGGGGGAAAGGAGACAACAACAGTGTAAGATACAAAATAATATATACTTGATCGAGGATGGGGAAAAAGAAGAGTTTATACCAAGGGCTCAAGTAGAAAATGTTTTGGAAACAATGATGGCAACTATGTACAAATATGCTCAATACAAATGATGTATGGAATGTTATGAGCCGAAGAGCCCCCAATGAAAAGATTTTAAAAATATAGTGCATAAAGAAATCAGAAAATCGAGTGGATGATGGTGCCCAGCTATCAAAAAGTATAGCGTCTGTGGTCTTAAAGGCAAACATGTGGCCATCAAGCTCAGAAGCAACAAAGCCCACATGGAAGAAGCACACCAGCCTATATGATCACGAGGCGTCGAAGGGATCAGGTATAAGGCATCAACAGAATAAAAAATCTTACCACAGTGAATGATGGGGGGAGTGCGGAGTGGAGACCCAAAGTCCATTAGTTGGCCACTGGAAACCCCCTTGCAGAGGGGTCTCGGGGAGGAGATGAGCCAGTCAGGGTGCGATGTAACAA